CCTCCCTCCCTTTCCCCGACTATCCCCTGACTATTTAGCCGCTTTGTCGCCTCAATCGGTGGGTCCTCTTGCTAAGTCTGCAGCTGCTCAGTAAAGAAGAGAAACCTAATGCGAGGTCAAGAGGGGGTCCGTAGGTGACGTAAGTACCCACAGGAAGAACTACCTTCGATGAGGTTATCAGAAAAGTCGAGACTGAGGCCCAGTAAGTATTTTTAAGGCTATAATATGACATTCCGGCTGTTCTATGAAAATCAGGACTGAAGTTGTACTCCTGACTTTCAGAGACGAGAATTTCAAGAGCTGTAGGTTCGGATTGGGATAACTATTTAAGGACCACCCTCCCCTTATGTGATAGTAAGAGTTTTCAGGAAATATCAAAGACCTTACATTTTAGAAAACCGGCGAGCTCTGTAAACCTACCTTTGCATATTTCAGACCGTATGAAGGCTTTCCCTGAACGGAGATCTCGAATTTGCGTCTAAGCTCACTAATAGTTGCTCCCTGAAAATTAAGAAGTTTGAAATACCAACTTTTGCAGAAAAGTTATGAAAAGAGAACGACTTCGAAATCGTCCTGTTCCTCAGTTTTCATTGTTCGATGTAGAGTGAACGGGTGACGACCCCCCTCGACATCTATAAAAGACACTTATCAGTTGTATCGAGGAATTTCAATAAAATTACTGAAAATGAAACTAAGGAAATGAGGTTCCATCATGAACTCAGATTCGTTAGTTATAACAGGTTTTGAATATTTCCAGTTCACCCGGTACTTGCACTTATGTTGTTAAGAACCTTTTTTTAAACGAGACCTAAACCTTATTGTAAGCTTCATTACCTCAGTAAATAGGCTACTATTTTAAATAGAAGTCATAAATAGCTATAAATTCCTAAAAGAGTGCAAGAGGAAACTCTTAAGGGTTAAAGTAAAATAATACTTTTAATTAACTGTGAACTCGAACCTCAAGTACTATATACAGTTCGACTGAAGACCCCCATAGTTTTCAAATCCTCCTTTCAAGGGAACTATAAGGATAAACGTCGTTGTACGACGTGTTTCCAGACGATGCTCAAGGAATTCGAGAAACAGAAAATGGGATTCTATGAGCGGCTCTGGATAGGGTGAACTAGGGCGACTAAAAGGTGACTTGTAGATGAACGTAAAAAAACCTTGGTCCCTCGAAAAGAACCGCAGAGCCGAGTGAAATGACACTTCCCTTGCGGGATACATGCATCCCGTCGGGAGCCCAGGGATAAATGACTGGTGACAAACGTCCTTATCCATCACACCGCTAGTTGCGAATGTCTCATTCAACTGCCACTAAAGGAGGGTGTCTGAGTGCAACAATGAGAAAAACCTAAGTGGCCACTTCCCCAAGGAATCTTTCACCGGATCGCAGTACTAACATATCGACTTTTTTGGTTGTTTGAGGTTGGCTATTTCTAACAAAGATTCCCAGAATCATAGCATCTAAAAATCGACTTCCCATTTTGGTATTTGAGTTATAATAATTTTTTATATTACTTTGCTCGGCCTTTTAGTTTTTTTTACAAAAATTAATGTCCTCTCATCATGCTCTGTTGAAAGCAGAGAGGGACATGCTCAAGAATTCTGTGGCTTAGCTTTCACCACAAAATCACTCTGTATCAGGAATGCTCTACTATATAAAAATTGCCCACATCCATAAAGTTTTTGGGCAATTTTTATTAATTTAATTAATTTGATTAATTTACCTATTTTTGTTTTTTTTNTTTTTTTTACTATACATTTACTGAAATATACTCTTTGAGTACCAGATTACTCACTTATCATATCACCGGTAGATCGAGACTGATGTCTCGACAGCGATGAAAGCGGTACCGGCGATTGCCCACTTGACGAAATTGAAGACCTGTTGGATCTGAAATGTCAAATTACCATTTCGTAGGTGACAATCAGGGTTTCCTAGCTTCTTTCATAAATTCCATTTCTCAAACGATTGGAGCGTAGTGAACTCTGATCAGAAATTTGATGGACTCCTTCGAGGAACCTTCCAAAGTTAGCCCTGGCATAACTGCATCTGTAGAGGAAGCATTACCTTCGTTTCTCCTCAGAAGTCGAGAGGATGTCGTCCACTGAAGGGCATCTCTTCCCAGTTGCATGTGGAGAAACCTGAGATATAGCCATTTAGAAGAAACTCCTAGCCGTTCATTTCCAGTATGATTTTAATGATACAAAAGAAACGCTGTTGGAACAGACATTCCTACCTTAGCATCACGGCTAACTATTCCAGATAAGCGCTGGAATTTCGCTCTAAGCTTCTCCACGATTCCGGGGCCATATTCAAGGTCTGAAACTTGTAAAATAGCATTTGCGTGTAGAACGAGTATCTGCGGCCACAGTCGTAATTTACCTTCGCTGAGCGCCTTTGACACTAGTTCCTTCTCACTTTTTCGAACTCCTACTTCATTCATGGCGTCATATCTGTAGGAGCACTTCCAATGAGCATTTACATACTGCATATGTTCTACATTCTATGGGCATGACCGCTAGAAGGCCGTGGAAGGAGGTAGGATGGTGGATTAATTCGGATGGAACATTCGAAACGGAGATTTAGCTTGATTTAGATGGAGGTACCTCTTGAGAGCCTCATGGATATGCCGAAAAGATGCGCATTGGCTAGCGATGACAGAAATAATCACTAACTGAGTCAGCTCTTTTAAGAACTCGTACATAAGTCATTCTAGGGCTCGATAACCCCAAAAGATGGTTTATCTTCTA